CTTTAATTAGCAGCTCTCTAAGCTCATCGTACTCCTGTGCTGTCCCTGAAAGTTCAATCCATCTGTCGAAATAATGGCAAAGTCGGGCAGCATACTGCGTAGCTGTCTCACCATCAGCTGGCTTTCCTGTCCGAAATCTGTCCCGGAATCCTTCCACGGTAAATCTAAATCGCTTCAACAAAGCAGCTTTCACCTTTGCGTAGTTGGCTGCATCGGTCGGCGTCAGCCTACCGTACACACTGAGCGCTTCACCACTCAAGCAGGTACTCAAAGCAGTTGCCCATTGCTGTTCCGGCCAATTCTGGCTCCTCGCAATCGTCTCAAATCTGTGGAGGTACGCGTCTAGGTCGTCCTTCCTTTCATCAAACGCTACGAGCAGCTTGCTTGGGTTCAAGCGGAAGCCGTGATCTTCCCGTTCGCTGCTTTCAACTCTAGCTTGGACGGGAGTTTCGTTTCGCTGTTGCAAACGGAGCCGCTCGAGTTCAATTTCGTGCTGCCGCTGCCGTTCCCTTTCAGCCATCTCCGCTTCTCTTTCTTCTTTCAGCTGGCGCTCCCTCGCTTCTCTTTCTTCTCTCGCCCTTTCGGCTGCCAACTTCTCTCTCTCCAGCTCCAACTTCAATTGCTGCTCTCTTTCTTCCTTCAGCTGTCGCTCCTTTGCTTCTCTTTCTTCTCTCGCCCTTTCAGCGGCCAGCCTTTCTCTCTCCAACTCAGCTGCCTTTTCCGCTTTGGCTCTTTCGACCGCCAACCTCTCTCGTTCCAACTCAGCTGTTTTTTCTTCCTTGGCTTTCTCAGCTGCCAACCTTTCTCTCTCCACCGCCTCTTTCTCCTTCTGGCTTACCCATTTCCGTAGTTCGGCGCCGGAAAGACCCATCTTCTCACCAAGAGCAACTAACTTTTCGAGATCCATTGTGTCTCGCAACTCGCAACTAAAACCTTGCCGCGTGCAAAAAGTATCTGCCTAAATCAGTCTATCGGAACACTCTCCTGCACTCGTTAACGAGAACACTGAACAACACACAAAATCGTTCCGATAGCACTATCAACAACTCGAGGCTCTTTCTCACTACTTTGGACACACTGTGCACCAAAAGGTCCTGTCGCGGACGCCAGATTAATTGTCACACCTGTCCCGTTTATTAGGGAGGCGATCGCCGGGCTAATTCCAAGAGCCGAAGTATCGGCCCCCCGAACCGCACCACGAAAGCGTGGACAATTTAGAAGTGGTCCTTATTGGTGCGCCAGCGGACGCCGGCTGTGGCCCAAAGAACAAGACAGAGCCGAGAGTTGATAAACCAACAAAATTATATTCTCATTAACGGCAGATCAAAACGCAATACACACGTATGCACACTCCACAATAGTTACATACAATACGTCACCAAACAAACAATGTACTACACAGTACAATCAACCACACTTGAAACAACGGACACAGACAACAATACGCACTACAATGCAGTCGCATGCATTGAACAACCAAGACACTTAAAGACCAACGAGATATAAAACCTATTCAGTCCAAAGTCCTTGGAACAAAAGTCTGAATGATACTCTTCCGAGAATCACTCACTCAAAGTCCAGCGTTGTTGTCGTTCCGCAGCTCTCGAAGTTCTCTCTTCCAGGAAACCTCCCGTCTTCAATTGGCCACTCTTCCAACTTCAACTTCTTCGCCGGAAATCCGTCGGCTTCACACACGCAGCTGTTGCCCGCGTCTTCGCTCGATAGCGGTAAACACACACTCTTGCCTGTAGCTCGAGCCGTCCCTACGGACCACAAACTTCGCCGACTACACGGCGGACTCTCTACGCACTCAGGCGCTCACTTCCGTCTCCTCCTGTTCTGTCACTACGGGCAGAACCTTCGCCGACTACACGGCGGAATTCCTACGCGCTCTGGCGTTAACTTCCGTCACCTCCTGCTTTCTCGTCTCGGCCGCTCGATTAAATACCTTCCGCGCCACTTTCCAGAATTTTCTCGTCCTTTCGTCGGCGCGATACGCAGCGAAGGCTGGAGAGAGGCGAGACGGTTTGTCAGCCCTCCGCGTCGGGTGACTCAGCTCGGCGTAGCCACGCCTCCCTCGTTCTGGAAATTTCTAGCGCTTGCCCGGCCGCCGCTGTGGGGTGAGGAGGTTCGTCTGCGAAGCCGTGCTTCTGCGGGGAGAGCGCGCGCCCGGGAGCCTTGGATGTTTGCTTTCTTTTTTTTTTCTTTTTACCTCGCGGCGTTTCTACCGCCCGTTGTCGCAAGGATTTGGCGGCGCGCTCTCTTTTTTAGCGCTCGTTCTGTGACAAAGGCAATGGCATAAATAAGATAGAATTATCTTTACAAAAAAAGCCGGGAAGGGTACGGGAGCCTGTTTTCTTGAACGTCGGTTTCCAATCCGGAAATTGGCCCCGCGGCAACGACGTTGATTTCTCCGACACCAAAACATAAGCACGTATAGGCTTGCACGCACGCACACACACACGCACGCTTTCAATCACACGCAGGGGCGTGTGCACCCACGCACGTATGCATACAATTATATACACGTGTAGACAAGCAGGTACATACACGCGCGCGCGTACAAGCGCGGACATTGTTGGAACTTGTAATCGCGGGTCCGCTAATAGTCGTGGCGTGATTGAATTCAATCGTTCATTATCAAAGTATACGGACTTGGACAGCGCTGCGCGAGAAAACAGCCGTCTGGTAAAGGCACCGATTCGGTAGCAAGTTGACGCTCAAGCCTTGTTTTCGGTTTCCAAGTTGGAGCTGGTCGAGCTGATTGCAGTTTTTTTTTTCGAACTTCCTCCTAAATTCCACGCTGTAATTGTAGAAGTAAGCAACGAAGAATTGATTATATTATTTATAATTTATACATGTGCCTCAATCAGAAGGTCACTTGCTTAGCACCAGGGGCTCAGTGTCTTCTGTACGTCGCTTTACCAACGGTATTGCAAGATCGCCACTCTGCCGCCTCTACGTAGATTCAGTGACATTCATCACGTGTCAATCATGAGGAGTGGCGTACTAAACTTCGGCCGAAAGCAGGGCCAAATCGAATGTGCCAAACAGGATAAAAACTGGTCTTGCGTGCTCCCATTGTCGAAAGAAAAGATAGCACAAGAAAACTCCAACTGCCCCGCCGCGGTGACGGTCTATAGTGGCTAAGGTACTCGGCTGCTGACACGCAGGTCGTGGGATCAAATCGCGGTGGCGGCGGCTGCATTTTCGATGGAGGCGAAAATGCTGTAGGCCCGTGTGCTGATATTTGGATGCACGATCAAGAACCCCAGGTGGTCGAAATTTCTGTAGCCCTTTACTACGGTGTTTCTCATAATCATATGGTGGTTTTGGTGACGTTAAACCACACGTATCAATCAAGAAAACTGCAACTACGAAGGCAACGAAACTCGGCAGGTGATGTGAGGGATAAGCTTGTGAAGGCACACACCTTCGTACTTACAAGGCTCGATGATGGCAGCGAAGCAAGACCCGTTTTGCACAGAGATTCAAGGATTGCTGCGTGACTTCTCGTTTAACGTTTTTCTTTTTAGTTTATGATAGAAAGTCTCACGATGGGCCACAGTAGGACGCTTTCAGTTATCAGACTTGTAAGGGCGTTCCACTCTGATCCTAATCTATGACGTCACTCGCTCGTGGAAATGGCAGGCTTTGTGAACGGTGATAATTTCTTGGTTGTCGTGTAAGGGACCACAACAACAGGAAGTGTGATATCTGTGTGCCGTGCATAGAGGGCAGATGGAAAACCATTTCATTCCATGTCATTTTTTATGTATAGTAATCTCAAGAGGAAAAGAATTTAACATTTATGGTGTCTTATACTCCATGCCATATATGCTCTTCAACGGTGTCGTCCACTGAGCTCTAAGGTTTGACTTATCTATGCTACTTCGCTACTTCCACATTGTTGACACATATGTTTTTAATGGCCTGTGTGGCATGGCAGCTTCAATAACATAGGTGAAGGAAACACAAGCCGTCATACCAGAGAGTCAGCCTTCGTTGGAGAAACAAGCTCATTTCGGTCAGAACTTTGCCCGCGATTACTGAGACAGTTTCTCTTTGCAGCAGTCCTCGTAGGACGCCTTCCATTGTTTACACTTGAACAGTGAGGAATTGTTGAAATTTTTTTAATTATGAGGGCATTGTGCTGGTAGTGCCATCAATTCTCAATTACGGAAACCTTGGGCTAAGGTGACTGGTTGGATGCTGTTGGAATCGCTATCAATAATACAAGCTTGCCATGCCTCGTGCTACCTTTTAACGAAAAAGAATAAAACTTTAAACACTTATTGCTGGGCGTCATGAAACCAATAAAGCAGTAAACGTCATTGCCAGCACAACGTCATTGTTCACCTATATCGTTTGTCATAGGTTGGTTTCGAATGCCCCGAAGTCACAACACCCGACCAATGAAAATAGACTAATTGCGATGGCTGCGACCTCATCAGTGATGATGAATCAGCATTATCTAATATCTCGCTTTATCTATAACCCGCACTGATTTTAAAGTTTATTTTAGTTAAAATGTGTTCTTGAAGTTTCACATGGATAATTAGCAGTGTCGAAGTTGGCATCAATTAGCTTGTCGTAAGCAGTGACTCCGGTATCAGGAACAACATAAATGTCCTTAAAATTAGTTGCTTACTTGATGTTGGCGCCATTTTCAGTTTTTATTTCAATGGACGTTGTTTCACTTCCTATTCGCACCAGCGTGTCTTCGCTGAAACATTTCATTGTCTGGTTGTGCAACGAAATATTATTATCAAACCCACTGTGTGGCGGTAAAGTACGAAATAATTTAGGTTAGATTCATTTGCTTCACCTAGACTCAGCAAGCGCTGAAAGAAGCGAGAGTTCTCATTTGAGCTTCCCTAGCAGACGACGCGGCGCGCTTTCCTAACATCGCTGTCGTTTTCCACCAATCAGCGCTCGGCTCTTCCGTCGGTGCGGTCTTGCTGCTCCGGCCACCGGGCGCACTCCCTTCCCCTGGACGTTTGCAACGCCTCGGTCGGCTTCATCGGCGGCGCGGGTTTGGAAGTGTGACGCGTTGGTCTGCGTGAAATTGGCGCTGATAGTTTGGTTTGCTCGTGGTGCTTCCTGTGCGTGAAACTGCTTGACTACTGGTTCTTTGTGTGTGTGGTGCGTGATCTACCGGATTGCCCGAAAAGCCCGGAGCGATCGCCGCTCCGTCTTTTCAACAAGTCAGCTAGGCCTAATTCGCTCGCTCTCCGAGGCTCCGGCAAGAAAGTATCGCAGTGTGAAGGTGAGTCTTTTTATGCTTTCGCTCCCGAGAGTGTATCACGAGTCGCTTGCGATGTCATAGCAGTCACCAGAGCAGCCACGAGCGAAAGAGAGAACAGTGAAAAGCCGGCACCGATGTGTCGCTTTCGCCGTTTCGATGCTAGCCGGAGAGTCGGTCGTGTTGTAGCATGTTCGCCTGTCACTTCGCCGCTGGCTTGTCCACGCGCGCCGTGGTTCGTCTAGCGTTGCGATAGCGATGCTCTGACTTTGCGAGGTTTACATAAGTCTCATCGAACCGCGTTGGGTAGAGATCTCTCAGCTAAATTCGTACGTCGGTTGCGATTCCGGTCTCGCGCCTTTTGATTCAAACGAGAGCGTCGGTCGTGTCTCTCGGTTCCTGCTGCATTTTCCTGGAAACCGAGGCGCGTATTGAGCAAGAAGGATGGGTTACCGAGGCGTGATGTGTATCAGTGCGTTGTAGTAGGCGGGGTAACGAAGCGTCGCCTCGCAACGGTGGTGACTTGCCGAACGTTTCTAGCGCAGGCAGTTTCGCTCGCGATTGTCGACTCCGTCCACCGCACTTTCACTTGCCGTCGGGGTTTTATTGTTTCTGCATTTCTTTTTTTTTTGCCTATTGCGTGTTGTGCGGCGAGGTACAGTACAGTTCGTCGTGTTCAGATTTTTTCACGCCAGCTTTACGCTAGCTCAGACGCATAAGCGCGCATATCGGCAGTATTTGGTCGTCTCTAATTTAAATAAAAGTGCATTTAAATATCACCAACTTTAGGGCCAACTAGTCAACGCCGCTTGTTGTGTCGCGTGCCCATATTTTAAGGTACTAACGCGTTGATATGTGACAGCTGCATGTTGACTTAGTGATGTCCTAGTAATTATTATTCGAACGTTTCTGTAGTTGGGTGCGGCAAGCGGTTTAGTGCGATCGCCGTGCTTGTAGCGATTCGTTTCGCATGACGCAATGAGCACTTTGCGCACGATCTTTGTTAGGCGGTTATGAGCTGTATAAACACGCTCGCACGTACAGTATGATGCAGTGGTCTCCTAGCCGGCTCGATGGGTTCATTTACGTAGAGCCCAACGCCCTGGGAGGCGTGGTCCATTGATACCGCCGTTCCCTCTCGCTCCCCGAGGTGGCGCCACCGCCTTAGGGAGCTCGTCTATTTCGGTGGTTTCCAAGGCGGTGCCGGTTCGAAATGAATATGGGCTTGCTAATGGCAATTTTCTCAAACCGAATCGAACAGGATCGAAATCGAATGAATTATCGAGTACTTTTTTTAGTATTTATCGAATATAGAACACCCGTTTTCGCAGTTAGGGTCATCTCTCTTGTCGCAATATTAGCATTGAAACCACTGATGCAGCACCAAGAACTGATAAAGGGAGATTCTTCGCATGCACAGAACGTTTCAGAAAATGTGACGGAACGTCGTGTGAACGCCGAAGTTCTGGCTGCTTGAGTTAAGTAGCCCAGCTGCACCAAGCCCACACTTTGCGTTTAAATGGGTGCAGTTAGACGTTTCGAGATGGCGAAATGGCTAGTTTAAAAACTACTAAACTATTGAAAATTACTATAAGCTATTGGAGACTATTGGATACTCACTAAAATTTTCGATTATCGGGCGGTTCGATTCGATGTTCAGAAATTTCGGATATTTGGGCACGCAGCTTCAATACTACTCCAGTCTCTGAGAAAAGGCGTTTGTACTTCCATTATTTGTCGTCCATGTTTCTGTTGCCTAATACTAATCCTTAACGTAATAATAGTGTTGCCTAATACTAATACAATAATACTAAGGCCTAACCGCGCTGCCCCGTTTGTTCTTGAAGTTTATATTTATGCAGACCTCGCCTTTTTTGCATGACTTTTCCCGCTGTTATTAAGCGAATAAAGTTTCATCTACTGTCGATTTATCTTACAAATATCGCGCGACAATTAACACCTACACACGCGAAGAAAACACGGCATTCAAGGAGGAACGCTGTTTATGTTGGAAGATTCTTGCCGCTGGCTTGTCCACGCGCGCCGTGGTTCGTCTAGCGTTGCGATAGCGATGCTCTGACTTTGCGAGGTTTACATAAGTCTCATCGAACCGCGTTGGGTAGAGATCTCTCAGCTAAATTCGTACGTCGGTTGCGATTCCGGTCTCGCGCCTTTTGATTCAAACGAGAGCGTCGGTCGTGTCTCTCGGTTCCTGCTGCATTTTCCTGGAAACCGAGGCGCGTATTGAGCAAGAAGGATGGGTTACCGAGGCGTGATGTGTATCAGTGCGTTGTAGTAGGCGGGGTAACGAAGCGTCGCCTCGCAACGGTGGTGACTTGCCGAACGTTTCTAGCGCAGGCAGTTTCGCTCGCGATTGTCGACTCCGTCCACCGCACTTTCACTTGCCGTCGGGGTTTTATTGTTTCTGCATTTCTTTTTTTTTTGCCTATTATGTGTTGTGCGGCGAGGTACAGTACAGTTCGTCGTGTTCAGATTTTTTCACGCCAGCTTTACGCTAGCTCAGACGCATAAGCGCGCATATCGGCAGTATTTGGTCGTCTCTAATTTAAATAAAAGTGCATTTAAATATCACCAACTTTAGGGCCAACTAGTCAACGCCGCTTGTTGTGTCGCGTGCCCATATTTTAAGGTACTAACGCGTTGATATGTGACAGCTGCATGTTGACTTAGTGATGTCCTAGTAATTATTATTCGAACGTTTCTGTAGTTGGGTGCGGCAAGCGGTTTAGTGCGATCGCCGTGCTTGTAGCGATTCGTTTCGCATGACGCAATGAGCACTTTGCGCACGATCTTTGTTAGGCGGTTATGAGCTGTATAAACACGCTCGCACGTACAGTATGATGCAGTGGTCTCCTAGCCGGCTCGATGGGTTCATTTACGTAGAGCCCAACGCCCTGGGAGGCGTGGTCCATTGATCCGCCGTTCCCTCTCGCTCCCCGAGGTGGCGCCACCGCCTTAGGGAGCTCGTCTATTTCGGTGGTTTCCAAGGCGGTGCCGGTTCGAAATGAATATGGGCTTGCTAATGGCAATTTTCTCAAACCGAATCGAACAGGATCGAAATCAAATGGATTATCGAGTACTTTTTTTAGTATTTATCGAATATAGAACACCCGTTTTCGCAGTTAGGGTCATCTCTCTTGTCGCAATATTAGCATTGAAACCACTGATGCAGCACCAAGAACTGATAAAGGGAGATTCTTCGCATGCACAGAACGTTTCAGAAAATGTGACGGAACGTCGTGTGAACGCCGAAGTCTGGCTGCTTGAGTTAAGTAGCCCAGCTGCACCAAGCCCACACTTTGCGTTTAAATGGGTGCAGTTAGACGTTTCGAGATGGCGAAATGGCTAGTTTAAAAACTACTAAACTATTGAAAATTACTATAAGCTATTGGAGACTATTGGATACTCACTAAAATTTTCGATTATCGGGCGGTTCGATTCGATGTTCAGAAATTTCGGATATTTGGGCACGCAGCTTCAATACTACTCCAGTCTCTGAGAAAAGGCGTTTGTACTTCCATTATTTGTCGTCCATGTTTCTGTTGCCTAATACTAATCCTTAACGTAATAATAGTGTTGCCTAATACTAATACAATAATACTAAGGCCTAACCGCGCTGCCCCGTTTGTTCTTGAAGTTTATATTTATGCAGACCTCGCCTTTTTTGCATGACTTTTCCCGCTGTTATTAAGCGAATAAAGTTTCATCTACTGTCGATTTATCTTACAAATATCGCGCGACAATTAACACCTACACACGCGAAGAAAACACGGCATTCAAGGAGGAACGCTGTTTATGTTGGAAGATTCTTGTCGTGTTGTAAACGCTATCCCACCCCTCGTGTAAGCTTTAGTGACCCCCTCTCTCTCCTTTCTTTTTTTTTCTTTTTTTGTGAGTTCTGAGTTCGTGTGCTTAGTGGCGAGGGGTTTCCGGCGCCTCCTTGAAGGTTACAGCGTTCCCTATTCATCGTTTCAATATAACAGAAAAGAAAAAAAAATGAAAAAAAAAAGTTGCGAACAGTGACGGAGTACTCGACGCTGTTAACGAGATATTGTCGCTAGGCGGATAATTGCGAAGTATTCCAATTATACGGCAGTGACACTCTCGAGATAATGGCGTAAAATAAAGGTAATTGCCGAATGACCAGTCTTCTTGATGATGTGGTTACTGATTGAGTTTGCGCGCTGTTGTGCAGGGTACTTCTCTGTAGGTGGTCCCCTCTCTGAAATGATTAGAACTTTTTCGAATGGTGTCGCGAGTACATTGGAGAGAGAAAGAAATGAGATGGAAAGCGAGGTTATCCAGAAGATAGCCTTCTGCAAGGCAATGTAGGATGGAAGAAGAAAAAGGAGCATGAGAGGCAATCTGCTTGTTTTCAAGTTTTGAAACTATCGATGTGGATGTGTACATACGCCAGGCAATCATTTCCGGAAAAACTTGCTGTTTATTGTTAATTAATTAATTAAGTTAGTTATTTCTAGTGCGAATGTGTGGACATATGTCAGTTACAAGGATTGAGGAGGAGGATGTTCCCTGACCTTTTCTCTGCAGCGAACCTTAGGTATAGTACCAATGATCAGCTGCAATATATTCCCGACATGCACACTGCTGGAATTTGCCACGTATAAATTACGAGTGTTAATTAAAATCGCCAAGCTTAAATGAAATTAAAAAAAAATACGTTTACGGATTTTTCGTTTGTGGCACTCCGCATTCGGTTCACTCTAAACTTTTAAAGAAACTGCTATCCGCACGCTCTAGAAAAGCAAGAAAGAGAGAGAGAGTGAAAGAAAGAAAGAGAAAGTAGGTGTAAGAAGCTGTATGTTTCATTAAAATTTCGCGCTGAAAACTTCTAAATGGTGGGTTAGTGGGATTAACGGATTTAAAATGGTTGTCCCAGGTGTTCTTAATAATGATAATAGTGTTCGGGGTTTTACGTCCCAAAACCGCTATATGATTAGGAGAGATGCCGCTGTGGAGGGCTCCGGAAATTTTGACCACCT